TTGAATGATATCACTAGGAGACAAACTACAATGTGGGAATAGTAAAATTTATTCTAGTACGAGAGACCCCTGTTGAAATAGGATTTACACAACAGCGAGGATGCCCTTCCTATCAGGTTTTAGACTATTTGTAAGTTTAACGAGAGAAATGAAACTAAAGCTACCCACAAACATAGATATATATTACATGGCGTATGTAGAAGTTATAAACGGGATGCTATTGTTAGTTTGTTGTTAAGCACAAAGTTATAAAATGGGTTATATGTGCTGTATCCTACCACGGGCATCGAAACCCAGTTTTTAGCGCTATACGTCTTCAGACGTATCGATAAGCCACTAAGGAGGAGGGGCACACTACGTTTGAAAGAAAAAAAGTTTGTAGTTAGAAAAAATAACTATAAAAAAGAAAAACACGTTGGGTTATAAGTAGTCTACTGAAACTTGAATTGAAAGTTTAAATTATTCTCTTAATTTTAGTGTTTATTGATCGAGATACCATCTGTTATCTTGTTCATAAATACGCAACCATTACTAGACTATGGTGACAACTTCAAGAAACGGAATTTTCAACACAAGCAGTACATTGTACACACGTCGAATAAACGGCCAGATCAGAGAACTCTAGGATTCAGCTATAGCAGTCTTTTAACTTTTGAACTACTGAACAGAGAGAAAGATGTACATTGTACATGCGTCGGCTAAACGGCCAGTTCAGAGAACTCTAAGATTCAGCAGACAATGAACGACAGACTTTGATGTAACACGTTTTACTTGTTCACCCCTATCTACTCTTAACTTTAATTTCATTTAACTGTTTTGCTGCGTAGTTCAGATATATCCGAAAAAAAAACAAAAACAGTTTCCCTTTTCTCATACATGCGGGAATTCTGTACTTGAAACAATCGCCAAACCTGCGTGCGTGCGTGCTGCCATCTGTGTTCCACGCCGTGAAACCTGGTTGTTTATATGCTTCATTACAAAATTGCCAACTTTGCAGGTACAAATATAGGATTTATATAAAGACAACTTCTTTATATCTTGGATATTGTTATCTAAATAATGTGTTTTATATTTTGTAATGACTTTGGCCTCTTATTGATTTAGTTTTGCCTACATTTATGTCATTTACTAGAGAACATTTTTCTTCTCATTTTCATCAATTTGTTTAAATCATTATTTTTCACTATCCAATATTGTTTTCAAGGAATATTACTGTCAGATATAGAAAATACAGCTTCTTTCAACATTGAAAAATTAATACAAAGGGTCACATTCATACTTTTATTTTTTGGTGGATAATTGACTTTTTGGAAATCAGCCTGAAAATTAATTGTACAGTGAAAGGGTTAAACAACAGGTTAAAACCTGACAGCTGGTGATCCACACTCTGTGTGCATCCTACTGTTGTACAAAAATGCTTCCATATTTTAGTTTGTATCCTTAATCTGTCTTTTGTTGTTGGTCTTTTACGTGCTAGGTTTTTATGTTTTGTTTATGGCCTAAAAATTATACACTTATATTTTCTAGTTGCAAATATTTCGAGTCTAGTGTAACTTTTATTATGCCATATGGATGTTATTTAATTAAAAATTGTATATGATCAAGTTCTGAAAGTGTATTTGCTTTGGAGATTCATGCAAGGTTACACACAAGTTATCTGCACCTAACTTTGAACTTATAGACTATTGGATTACTCATATTTGACCAAATAGACGTTTTATTGTCACCCTTATGAAGCACTCACGGAAGGCCCCAAAATGCGGAGCATAATTTTACAGCAATGAGACACGAGCCATGGAACCTCAAAATCACAGTCCAGTACTTAAACTGCTAGGCTACACCTGACCCTAGGAAAGTAAAATTTTCTATTACTGTCAAAATATCTTGGATCGAATACTGCTCTAATTTTAGTCATTGAGGCTTGTTAGAAAAATTCAATTACTGATATTAAAGTAAAATATTTTATATAAAAATAAACAGAAAAATAGACATCTTTAATCCATTGATATTAAAAAAATACTGATTAGTTGTGCAAAACAAACAATTTAAAGAAATATTACTTTTTATTTAGCTTAGATAATCTGCTGCAATAAAGTTATTGAGAAAAATGAATGTTGAATTTCAATAACAACTGGACACAAAAATATTCACAAGATTCTGATCAATATTTTTATTGTATAAAAAGTCATAATACATTATAAGTACTAATCTAGAAACAGGAAGGAAAGTCACATTGTGATTTTAAGATGTTCTGAAAAAATCTTAAATAAACAATTATCTGAGAGACATTAATTTATAAAATATAATCACATTTTTCTTGTCAGGAATGTTTACTTTGGATTGACAATATGCAAAATGTGAAGAGAAGAATATAATCATTTTGCTTTGTTTTGAAATACAAGGTTTATTTGTTAAGATATATATCTGAATCTGTATTCAAAGATTTATTACTGATCAATTTTAAGGCAGAAATTATTTAGAATTAATTATATGTTGCTCAATGCACAATGAAACTTGATTAAACTGGAATTGCTAAAATTAAAAATTACAAAAATCTGAATAATTAGCTATTGTTTCATTTTTTGTGTCTTAAGTGTTCAAAATTATTACAATAGCAAAGTAGTTAAATGATGTTGTTTGCTAAACAAGATTTGCAATGATCTGGAAAGTTGTCAACAACAATTACCAATACAACAGAAGGCCAAAGTATTTAAGTTATGGTAAATATACAATTATATTGGTTATACTTCACAAAATTAAAGAAACAAAAGTTTTTTTTTTATACAGAAGTTGTTATAAATGAAGTGTTTATCTGATTCTCTCATTACACAATAGCTTGTTAGTTTTGGATATTTGGGCAAAGTTACACATGGGCAATCACTGCAAACAGTTCCTAATTTGGAATGACAGACTAGAGTGAAGGCAGCTAAGTCAACATCACCCATCTCAAACTCTTGGACTACTCTAATCGAATGATGTGATTTGACTGTCAAATATATACACCTGGAAAAAAGTTAAGACACCCCCGTGTTTTTTCAAGTGATTCAGATTCGACGTTTTTGTGACTGATTATAAATTACCATTCAATCTAAACGTGTTTATCAAAT